TGATGAAGGGATCCTGTGCGGTCCCGAAACGTCGCTATTTTGTACATGACAATTGACGATTGGTCCGATTAAATGGACATCAAAGATATTTACTGAGTGCTGGGGAATTCCGCTTTCCACTTACTGAGGTATGGACATTCAGTAACATGGACAGGAGGAAGAATGCCAGATTCAAAATACAGCCCTTGGGGAGAAGAACATTGCGATTCAGGTAAGTGGGGAGGTGCTTATCTCCTCCAGCCTCTTTTAGCGACTTCACATCTGCATGTATTGAAGAAGCTCATGTACTTTTTTCTGAAAATTGAGTGACAGCACTTTGCTCAGATGTGAACAAATACACTAGAATAACATGGAAATCTGAGTCAAGAGTGTTGAACCGCTTCTGAAAATGCGCTTTAAAACGGCTCAGGTGTGATTGGGGGGATCCCTGCTCAGGGCCCACTTCTTGATAATGACAACAGTGGAGCCGTTGTTTTTTTGTATAGATGCATGTGGCATAAAGTTTGATTTGCTTTGGAAGATCATCGTGTGCTGGTTCTCCAGTTTGAGCCTATCACTCCAGAAGAGGGTCATCCGTGCACCGAATGTGGATTGCAAGGATGCATGACCGGGGTGAACGCACACTTTGTGTTTCTAGACAACAGTGGACCATGCCTGCCTAATGTGTGGTGGCTGCTTGTGGTCTCCACCAAGAGTGCATGTGACAGGGTGACAACGCAGGGACACAATTGTCCCCACATAACAGGGAAAAGCCTGAACAAGGGCCTTTATTGCAGAATAGCCAGATTTTGAAATGGAAGGTGCAGATTGTTAAAGATGAAAAATAGCTGAAAGTACATTGCCATGTTAAAGTTTCTTGGAGATTTTAGTAGTTGTGTTTAGATGTGAAAGAAACCCCCAAAACTACCAAACTTTCTTCTAAATAACTTATATTCCATCCTCGTGACTCTAAGCACCATCTGCACATGTAGTGGTTTCAGAACGACTTGTAGTCAGCAGGTGGTGAGTTCTGTACATGTGAGTAGCCCGTGGGTTGTTTCTGCACATTATGCTAAAATACGCAGTGACAGGACATCTAAAAGTGTATGGCAAACTAAACGAGAGTACAAAAAATACCTATTGATCGTGGCAGAAATTCTCCCATCTCCTAATTTCCTGTTGTTGACTGACAACACCATGCCTTTACTGGACTGAAATTGCAAGTATGGTGTCACTACTGCCCACTTGTAGCTTAGTAAAATACAGAGCACCTCCCCCTCCCCTCCTTTTCCCAACATACAGGGGTGTTCTGTAGTCAGAGAGAAGTACTAGGAGGACTAATTAGATTGTTGAATACACACATCCTGTGTTATCTCAAGCTAACAGCTCTGGATTTCTGACAAGATCATCAGGTATAGTGTTGCACTTATCAAACAAATATAACAAAACACGTTCAATGGTATATTTAATAGAGTGGGAATGTCATTGTTATGGGTTACATACGCTTTAATGAGTTTGATTTCACATGCTTTCACCAAACATGCTGACAGCGCTGTGCTTTGTTATTGGAAAGGCCGCCACGGTCTGCAAAGTAAATGTCATGGGATAAGTCCTGTAACACATATTCAATTGCTACAAAAATTTAATATCCATGTAAGTTTAGAAATTAAATAAACATAAATGTATAAAGTTGTAAATAATAAAGTGACGGGAAAAAAAACGATAGCAAGTTTTCATATATGCCTCGTACAACCCGCTGTTCTGTGCTGAGAGCGTGTTCACCAGCACGCACCCAGCAAAGTCACCGACAGCTTGCGATCTTTGTTTACGATTGTGAGCCAGTGAGACGGGTTCCCAATCATACTAGAAAAGATGGTACATGCATGAATCTATAACCAGCCTTTATAGCAGGGCGCACATTGCGAAGGCTTACAACAATACAAAACACAAAAATTCCCCAGCCTCAACCTGCAACCAAACAAGTAGCCCTGTAAACAGTATGCGTTAAAATCCGAGGTTTTAGTTGCACAAACTTTTGGCCAAAAATATGTAGAAGCCACACTGCCGCGCCAAGGCGCCTCTGCAAAGTGTGGTCCTAACTCTATGTATCCGAGTCTCCAAGTGTGAGCATATTAATGAAGTTGATAAATTACATGCAGGTGTACCTGGAGGTAGCCAACTCCTCCTAATAAGGTGCAGGTACGCACTGGAGGCCCAGCAACCAAAAATGCACGCCAGGGTTCCCAATCATGTGACTGCTGTGACAGCTAATCACAGGATTGGAAAGCCTGCCTCTGACTCTCAGCATTAAGATCCCCTTAAAGGGCCTCTAGGAATCAGCAGCAAGGGGTTAAAAATGAAAAATGCTAATTCAAATACTATTTGTGTTTTAATGTAAGATGCCAGATGGGCACTTTTGCCACAACAGGCTTCAACACAAGTAGGACCTACAATTTGCCACCTTGCTTGTCACTGTGCTAACAAATTAAACAAAAAACCCCCCACTAATTAGGTGCTTGTAAGATGTTATGGCGGGGTGGGCAACTCTGGTCCTCCAGTTGTGCTTTAGCTACAAATTCTTATATGTCTCTACCTCTGGGAGTCATGCCTGTACTGTCAGTCTTGCAATGCCTCATGGGACGTGTAGTTCCACAACAGCTGGAAGGTCGGAGTTTCCCACCCCTAAGCTACGTGGCCCTGACACATGGATACACAAACCACCTACTGACATTATGTGGCACGACCTTGAGGCAGACACCTACAACATTCTGTTAGTGTATTTGGAGTTTTGAATAGAGTTGGGGAGGGTTAGAACCCCTGTCATGTGTTGATTGCTTCTGTCGGTGCAGAAAATAATGGGAAATCTCTAGAACGGGGACACAGACAAAGACGAAAACAGTGTTGTTTGTGTTTCGGCTGTTTGTACTTGTGACTACTGGCTTCGGGAAAGAAAGTGGTACAGTTGTCATTGAAACAGAGGGAGACATTTTCTACAAAACGCTCAAACATCTAAATCCCATTTTATTCAATGGGTCTGGTTCACACCTTGTCGTATTTCCTCCCGTCCGAATGCGATACAAAACGGCCTACGCGAAATGCGTGTCAAACGCGCATATTCAATACGCCTAGGTGTGAACCCAGCCTTATGGTAAACATTACCTCAATGTCCTGAGCCCAAAGACACAAAGAGAATAGCTGGAACTGAAAACATCTAATTGCCAAGGGGTCTATGACAGCCTTTCTTAGCCAGGGTGCCTTCCGGCTTTCTCAGGGGTGCCTCAAAATTGTCACACAGCATAATTTGTTCCCAGGGTGCAGAAAGGCCAGCCACCACCACCATGGAAACAAATGGCGCTAATCCAGGGAAGACGGGATCCATTCAGAAAAAGACGGAGATATACGTTCTGCCATGCTGCCGCAGCAGTGGCTTCTGGTGTGATGGTAGGACTCTGAGGAGAGAGCTAGGAGAGACAGCCAGGAGAGAGAGCGAGGAGAGACAGCCAGGAGAGAGAGCCAGGAGAGCGAGCGAGGGAGGAGAGACAGCCAGGAGAGAGCCAGGAGAGAGGGCGAGGAGAGACAGCCAGGAGATAGCGAGGAGAGACAGGAGATAGCGAGGATAGAGGGCGAGGAGAGACAGCCAGGTAAGAGCAAGGAGAGAGGGTGAGGAGAGAGGGCGAGGAGAGAGGGCAAGGAGAGACAGCCAGGAGAGAGGGCGAGGAGAGACAGCCAGGAGAGAGGGTGAGGAGAGACAGCCAGGAGAGAG